TAATAAATGGTTTCTGCTTTATTACAAACTTTTATAAAATATACAAGAGAAGTACTTCTTTTGAAGCATCTTTAATTGTAGAATTGTATATTTTATTCTTCAAGTGATTAATATTTCTATCTACAAACATGCTTGCATTTCTTAAAAAGCAGTTGTACAGTCTAGTGGAGTATATAGAACCACCACCTAGTGTTGAAGTATTATTTATAAATTTTAGGAAAATATTAGGTCTATTTGAATCAAAATTATTAGAGTAAAGCTGAAACGTGCAAGGTTGTCTTAAAAAACTGTCACCGGTAGCATAAATAGCACCTCCTAATGACAGTGCTGTATTATTTTCAAAAGTAGCATTTAATCCTTCCTTGAGATACACTTGGCTATTACCTAATAGTGCTAGCGCTGTTCCATGATCAGCAATATTGCTATGAAAAAATAGAGTCCCTTCTAGAATAATTTTTGAATCAATCATTGTAAAAACTGTTCCATAGTTGTGAAAGAATGATCCAGGTTTTGATGTTGAACCTTTAACTGTGATGAAATTTATATTTGAGAAATGGAATAAATCTATAGGAATATAAACTTTTGCTGATGAGTTAACAAAGGTTGGGCTTGGGTTATAGTATGCTATTATTGACTCCATGATGAAATGAACATTGTTTTTTGCTTGTTCTATAAAATGGTATACAAAGACAGCAGCATATATGCAGGCTCCAGATTTCTGTGCATTGTTTTTAGTAAAATTTGAACTATGAAATTGAAATGTTACATTTGGAAGTAAGCCATCGATCTCATTACCACCCCTAATGACTTTTATATCTATTGCTCCTGAGCTTTGTGGCAAATATTCTGTGAATTGAATTCCACTATGGGAAAACAATGTATTTGTGACTGTCAATGGCTTGTATTCAGTGTTTGGGTTGCTATTGTCAAAATAGAAACTACCTGCTACTGCAGCACCATGACAAATTCCCATTATCATTGAATTGTTTGTAAATTGTGAATTGTTGATTATTGTTTGTGAATCATATCTTGAAACGAAACGAAATAGTAGTAAAGCTGCAGCTAGAAAGCCTACATTATTGCTTAAGCTACTATTAGCAATAGTAACAGTTGCAGGTAGATTAGTTTGCATATAGAGGATTGTAAAACCAGCTGCATTAATAACGGGCATAGAAGAAAAGGAATCATGACGAATTTCTGAGACACATACTATTCGAGTATTGCTGTAATATTGATTGAAAGCAAAATTATATGCAAAAGTGGAATTGTTAACTCTTAAGTCATATTTACTGTCAAATGAAAGGGCTGATGATTTTGTGTGATTACAGAAAAGAACAAGCATTCCACTTCCTATGCTGATTTGTTTAAAACCAGCTAATACATAGTTTTGCGAATAACTAATCTCAAGACGATTAAATGAAGCATTTGGAAGATTAACTGAAATTAAACCAAACCCAGTGTAGTTAACAATATTTACATCTTCAACAACAAGACGAGCTATATCTGTGAGTACCAGAACAGCAGCATGATATTGTGTGAAATGAATAGGGGAACTGGTGGAATTTATGATGCTAATGTTACTGCCTAAAGTAGTCAAATTGGTACCACAATTGATAAATTTGAGGTCACTCAATTTCAATGAACCACTAGAACCATAAAATGCAAACCCTCTAGTCCAGTATTTGTCATATTGGGTTTTATTATTAGGCATGCACTTGATGAGTGCTACTGTATCACTGATACTGGTAATAGTGAGAGAGGAATTGCTTATGTTAATGTTACAAAAGTTACCTGAAGTAATTTCATGAGTGATGTTAGTAGCCAGGTGTAAAACTACATCAGTGCCATGGGCTTCATGTTGATAGTCACACAAAAGTTCCTCCAGTTGGTCTGTATAACTGACAATGATAGGACTTGCAGATACACTGAAAAATAAAAGTAAAAAGGTAGCTATCATTTTGCCTGCTGCCGTGATAAATCTCATGAATGCAAACATTAAAAGTGAAAGTAGAGAGTAGCCTAAATAGAGTGATTCGTTATACCATCTCTATTCCCATCCCACTCAATTCCCAATGTCATTGTACACTGAGAGAGCTAAGGTGCAGCTCATTCTAGTCTCCACCTAGCTCTACATACAGAAATGAGTCAAACAACTCTAGATTAATGTTACATCATTAAATGTATATTAATGTACATAGCTGTGTGTTTAGCTCAATCTAGTACACTATAAACAGATGTTCTTTATAATAATACATTAATTAATCTTGCCATGCTTCGGTGTAGGAAGCTAAGCGAGCAACACAAACATTGGTACAATGTTTAAGGAATAAAAATGGTGTGTGTCTGTGTGTGCGTGTGTAATTCGAATCATTAGTTACTATTCTGATTAGAGACAATCACTCCAATAACAACTACAAAATAAATATCATATACAATGAGTGAGTATGAGTCAATCTTACTAGCAGTGACAATGAGAACTATCAGAACGATACAAATAATTGGTACACATATCACTAGCCAAAGCTAAAGAGAATGGTTGAGTTAAAACAGTCTTGGCCAACTCTTTGTTTACTTTAAAATTGGAGCACCTCTCCTTCTTCCTCAGTCTCTTTGTTCTCTTTTGAAACATGTCAGCTGTATCGGCAAGATTACCTACGAGTGATATAAGCGGAGCATTGCTATTTGTGAAGGGTTTCTCCTTCAAAACCTGCTCTTTCTTCCATATCGTCCAAATGATCTCCTCTCTCCATAGCAGAGTTCAAGTTTTTCCGCATTTGGGATTTGACATTATCTACTTTACCCTGCAACTTAGCAGTACTCGACCTATGAAAGAGTGAGTGTGGAAAAAGTAAGATTTTGTCAATATCTTACATGATTGATTTTGTAGTAGTGAAAGACAAAAATAGAAATAAACAACCCAGCCCCACCTAGAGTGGGCGTACCTGACAATGAATAATTAATTAGTATAGTGGAATAAACAACAAAAAAGAATAATAATGATCAATGAATAATTAATTAGTATAGTGGAATAAACAACAAAAAAGAATAATAATGATAATCATCATTGTCATGTATCATTGGTCGCTTTTAAAATCGAGTCAATGAAATTGTCAACTTTTCCTAATATTTCCTTTTGGTTCTCTTGGCTGTCCTCAAAGTCTTCATCGCAGTCAATGACTAGGACTGGCACATCACTCTGTAGTACTGAGGGCAATAGCCTGGAAATAAAAGAATAAACTACATGTAGCATTGTATACAGACAGGGGTGAAGCTTGAGATCAGAAAGTATGCAATAATGCATACAAACAAGTGCATATTATTATCTAAACTAAGGCTGCGTTTACACAGCAACGCAAAACGTATCGTAAAAAAACGATACACTTTGAACACCGTTTTCGTTTCCATAGAGTCCTATCAAGATTCTATCACGTTTTCAATCATTTCTGTGTAAACAGAAGCATAAAACAGGCACAAAACTGAACGGATTGCATCGTTTTTGTTGCCGTGTAAACGCAGCCTAAAGAAACACCACATCCATTTATTATAGAATAAAAGTTGTACTCATGGTATGTGGTTGGGGTAAAGATTTTGGCAATAAGTACACAACCACAATACATCATCTTACTACCTATGGTGGTCAGGGGTGGTCTGGAGCAACCACCTCCACAAATGACTAACCAGTTCGTCACTTAGACCAACCATGCAATAAATAATGACTAAGCATAAAGCATATGATATTCCAGTGTGTGTACATAAATTTAAAAGGAGCAATATGCAGTTGCCTCTCATCATAATACAGTGTGTTATTTTTTCTAGGCATAACCAAGAATACTGGCATTAAAGTTTGTATGCTAAATACATGTATGAACCAATAACAATGACATCATACATGCTGCTTTATGTATGGTTATTAATATTAATTGGATAACATCATATTAATATGGATCATCATTGGTCAATGCAATGTTTCACTACACAGCAAAAATTACCGCATAGCAGGAAATTATGAAGTGAGTTAAATTTGGCGAATTGCTAAATTCTGGTGATTGGTTTGGATAAATTTGTGGCCACGTGCCATTGAGCATGCGTATAATGGCTCAAAATGGAGGATTTTATTTTAGCGAATGGCTATCAAAATGCCAAATTCGCCAAATTTAATTGCATCCGAAATTCTCCACTATACAGTAATATGTTAAGTGGAACTTTCAATCATTGTAGATGTGTGTGATCAATGCATGCAATGATTGATAATTACTTTGTTTTGTTGTCAATCAGCCAGTTATTGTGCTTATCATGAAGACTCTGCAAGTAATCCAATGTAACCCCACGTTCCTTGAAAAAATGATAATTAAAAAATTGCCATTATTATCCCCACCTCTGGTCTGTCTCTTTTCTTGAGTCTTTTCATTGCAACCTATTAACACAAAAATAATTAAATGGCAAATGAGAAACAGTAAAAAGGATCACTTATCACTAAAATGGATACAATTAAGCAAAAACGACTAGGACAGAATTCATTCTCTATTTTTATAATTTTTTCTGATACATATACATGTTCTTATATTGTGTAGAAAGTTTGAACTGATTCCAATTAAAATTAATTTTTTTGGATGCTTTAAACTTGCTCAAAATTGCTTAAAGACCCTGTACTATATGGCAAGACTGCAAAAGTCGTGGCAACCATTTTGAAGTAGAGCGAATCCTACTTAGTAACGTTACTGCGTTACTAATAATACAGGGTGTAAGAAGTTGTTTCTAAATGGATCCGGAACTCTCTGTGTACTATTGTAATTATATATTGTGTTTATTCAAGTATATTCTAGAACAATCATGTAAAGTATTCTTGTATGTTATAGAACCTTCTGGACATTTATAAGATCTATATAAGTGTGTTGTTTGTGAGTTTTAGTTTTTAGTTGTGTGTTAGTTGTGTGTTAGTTGTGAGTTGGTTTTGTTAGTTTTGTTTTTGAGCTCAGTTGAGTTTAGTTTCGATTAAGAATAAAGTTTGGTTAACAGATAGTTAGGAGCGTCTGTTACACAGGGTTTTCAGTCAAATTTTGTCAAAAACGGCTAGAAGAAAATTCTCTATTTTAATAATTTATTCTGATGCATATACATGTACATGTTCTTATGTTGTGTAGAAAGTTTGAAATGATTCCGATTAAAATTAGATTTTTTATGAATTTTTTAAACTTGCTGAAAAATTGGGCCAAAGACCCTGTACTATAGTACAGGGTCTTTGGTCAAATTTCGTCAAAAACGGCTAAGATAAAATTCTCAATTTTTATAATTTATTCTGATGCATATACATGTTCTTATGTTGTGTAGAAAGTTTGAACTGATTCCGATCAAAATTAGATTTTTTATGAATTTTTTAAATTTGGCCAAAAACCTGGCCAAAGACCTGTACTATAGTACAGGGTCTCTGGTCAAATTTCGTCAAAAACGGCTAGGAGAAAATTCTCCATTTTCATAATTTTTTCTAATACATATACATGTTCTTATGTTGTTTAAAAAGTTTGAACTGATTCCGATTAAAATTAGATTTTTTAATGAATTTTTTAAACTTACTGAAAAATTGGGCCAAAGACCCTGTACTATAGTGCAGGGTCTTTGGTCAAATTTCGTCAAAAATGGCTAGGAGAGAATTCTCCATTTTTATAATTTTTTCTGATACATATACTTATGTTGTGTAGAAAGTTTGAACTAATTCCAATTGAAATTAGATTTTTTATGAATTTTTTAAATTTGGTCAAAAACCCGGCCAAAGACCCTGTACTACTTACAGGATCTTCATTCAAATTTTGTCAAAAATGGCTAGGACAGAAATCTCCATTTTAATAATTTTTCCTGATACATATACATGTTCTAATTGTTCTTATGTTGTGTAGAAAGTTGGGACTGATTAATGGATGCTTAAATTGCTCAAAAACTGGGCAAATACCCTGTACTATTCTTTAGGCAAATTTCATGCACATGTATATGACACTAATGTGTTATAATTGTAATACTGTCATTATCTTTTTATAACAGTACTTTTGAAAGTACCTTTGTGTATCTTACTACTGTCCTTACTATATATATATATATATATAGTGTATCTACTACTGGCATAGCTAGAATAAATGAACAAAGAGTGGGGGCACTGAATAAAGCAATGCTCATGAATACTCAATATAGCAAGCTCAATTGAGTCAGCTCAGTCAGCTGTAACTTGTATCTCTTCAGTCTCCTGCCTAGTTTTAGGGACACAAGAAGCAGTTATGAGGGCACTTGCCCCCACAGGCCCCTATATAGCTACGCCACTGGTGTGTGTGTGTGTGTGTGTGTATTGCCCTAACATAATATTAGTAATAATAATAATAATGATACTTCGGGAGTTGACTTAAGATATATAAATCCATCAAACTCCAGATGAAGATATTTAATTAGAAATGAATGCCAATCACAGTAGACGGACCACTCCACGTCATTAATGAGACCACTTTCATGACAATTCTGAGCAAAACAAAATCTACAAAAAAAGAAAGTGTAATTAACTAATTATGACTGTTAATATTTAATAGTGTTATAATACTTCACACATCTCTTCTACCATATGCATAAAAAATACTGTATAGTGGGAAATTTTGGAGGGAGTTAAATTTAGTGAATTGCTAAATTTTGGTGATTGGCGAATTTTAATTTGGCAAATTAGTGGCCACGTGCCATTGAGCATGTGCATAATGGATGAAAATGGCAGATTTTATTTTGACGAATGGCTGTCAAAATGCTAAATTTGTCAAATTTAATTCCCTCCAAAATTTCCCGCTATACAGTACTGCTAAGCCATGACAATTACTATCTGACTACTAAGCCTAAGGTACACATTAAAAAATTCAGTTTTTTTTCAATTTAGATAGTAGCACATTTACAGAGTACATTATTGTACACTAAAATACATGTGAGAAAATGCACATACACACAATACATAATACAGTCCATTATAATAATTCTTAGTTTCTCACTTGTCACTGTAAACTGATCGTTCATAAAATATAACAGGATTAGGTATACTTTGAAGGTGTTGGGGAATATCCCGTAACTGAGCTCTTAAACGACTTAAACAAGCATAAGTCTAGTGTAGGGGAGGGAGATAGAGAGGAGATGGAGGAATAAAATTAAGAGGGTTAAAAGGAGAAGAGAGAAGTAGTTTGTTCGTTACCTGAAAGGTATAAGCATAACGTTTAGGATCTTTATAAAACATATCTAAGAGGTTACTGCCGTACTGCTGGGAACTTGTAACATCCTACAATGTATTAAATGAGAATAGAGTGAGGTGTGACCGCATTAATGTACATTTTGTGACATTCGTCATTTTTTAGATGTCAGATTTTTAATTTTTACACAAAAAGATTTATATCGTTAATACTTTCACCTTTTATTAATCATGGGTACCTTAACTTTGTGAGGTTTCTACATTCATCCATCTAGTACATATTAAAGCTAAGGCATTGGATGCCACTAGTCTTCAAAAATAATATAAATCCTCATAATTTAGCCCACAATGACACATTTAAATTAGTTTTACAATAATTTCAATTTAGTTTGTAGCTTTTACCTCGTCATCTGATGGTATATTAGTCCAGCGGCTCAAAGGCTCCCCAATCACATGATAACCAGTTGAATGAGACTCGAGTATTTTAAGGAAAGTTGACTTACCCGCGGCTATTAAATGAGGTGACAAGTAACGCTATTCTTTCGAGGACTCACCAATGTTTCCTTCGACAGCTATTTTTATTTCTCTGCCTAGACTAGAGCAAAACTTCTTGGCAGGGACCTCAGCCATTTTAGAAGAAGCGATAGAGATTAGAAAACTTTTTAAGAGAAGCATTTTACCACGTGTCTACTGGGCGGAGCTAGGTAGCCTGGTATATATAAGATATATATTATCTATGGAACGTAACTAGCTCCTACTCGAATTCTGAGCCTGCAGAAAAATTGGTCTGTAGATTTATATAGTCTGGAGAACATTAATTTGTGGTGTGGTGACTGAGTACTATAAGGTAAGAATACTTAATTACAATCATGCATGCAGTGACACTAGACTATGCAAAAATAATGTGTAATTGTACCGGTATTGTAGACTCTATAATAATTAATAATTCTGCAAAGAAACAGAATGAGAATTAAAACCACCAAAATATTCTTTGTCACCTACGGCTGAACGGTACAATTCCACCTACTGTAGTACAGGAGAAATACATTTTACTGACTTTATAACAGTAAGCTATTGTGCTATAGCTGTTTGTGGATGTTTATGTTCAACACCTGAAATTGAAATGCTGTTTGTGTATTTTTGTGGATGTTAAATGTGACTGTTAGTTTCAGGCTTTCAGCATCTGAAATTGAAATGCTTTCAGATTTATTTTTAATGATGATAAGAGTTATCTCTTGCTATCATGTTCATAATGACAATTTTTGCTTTCACTAACAGCACATCATGTCAGTCATTATTGTAATCATTATTGTCATACCACTACATAAACCATCTACATCATGTTATTATAATTATAGGTAAACTATAATAATGACTAAGAAAGAATTCAAATGGAGCGATCAATACTTCAATGATTTTGTCGAAACGACTACAATCAATGGAGTTTTTCATATTTTCAGGGGGCGATCAAAAACTAGACGCCTCTTGTGGGGGTTGCTATTCTTAATTTCATTCGTCTCATGCACTATCGTATTAGGCTTCAGTTTTAAGCGATACTCTGAGAAACCCACTGTATCTGCAATCAATGTTATCTCAGAAGAGAACGGGATGCCTTTTCCATCTGTTACCGTGTGCAATCGGAATTTTTATAAATATCCCAACATTAGTAATGAGACAGACACTCTCATTCACCATCTCTTCCATTCAAGTGGTTTTTTACAAAACATAAATCGCACGCAGGAATGTAAAATAGATGAGGATACACCTGACTTTAAATTGCAAGATTTGTTGATACCAAAAGAGAACAACTTCATTTATTATTGTGCCCTCAGTTATCAAGCTGAAAGTGAAGTCATGTTGTGCAAGGATATGTTCTTTCCTACATTAACTCCAGCAGGTATCTGCTACACATTTAATGGCGTTAGAAGCAAAACAAGAGCTCTGAACATGACAACAACTGGCAAAAGGTATGGCCTGAGACTAATACTGAACATTGAACAAGAAACGCATCTGGCATTTGATGGAGTTGCTGGAGTTCAAGTGATTGTTCATGAATCAAATGACATTCCTCGTCCAAATCTGCATGGTATTGGTGTACCACCTGGTCAGAATGTTGATATTGGGGTGAAAAGGGCAATTTCATCTGACGAAACTGATCAAGATGCATGCATCGAAAATAATGAAAAAGATCTCCCTTTTTTACCAGGTGTTGTGTATTCTCAGTATGCCTGTCGACAGAATGAGCTCTATGAAAGCTTGGCAGATAAAAACTTGTGCAATTGCATTATTGATCCATTTGAATTAGACAATGCTACTTGCTTCCTCCATGACCTCTGCTGTTTACAGCAACAATTCACTGAGCATGATCGTAACAGTAGCTGTAGGCCACCATGCAAGTATACCTATTTTGACATAATTAATAGCTACTCCAGTTTTCCCGAAGGACACGCTCTTACAGAAATTAAAAACTCAATCAACACCTCTGATGATTATGTCAAGAAAAATTTTCTCTCTGTCAGTGTCTTTTTGCAAGCTCTAGAAACAAGAGAAACAACAACACGATATTCATATGGGGTAGTTGAACTATTAGGAGAATTAGGCGGAAATCTTGGATTGTTTCTTGGCATCAGCATTATATCAGTCATGGAATTATTGGTTCTGGTTGTTGATGAGCTTAAAAAGTGTGTCTGTCCCAAGAAAGTCAAACAAAAGTTTAAAAAGTTTGATGAAAAGCTTAAATGCATTCCCGATTGTGTTGAGCAAGAGGAAAAAAATGAAATACAGGCTCTGACTAACTTCTGACACAATGATTAATAATAATAATAAGTGCTGAACTTAATAAAACTGCATAATTTTATATTCTCTGTGTCGTCCTTTGCTGATTTTTAGATTAGCTAGATTATAATAGATTTATTAATTATTAGACTAAGTACCTACCTGATGACGCATGATCATGAGTTACTATTCAGGCATATGAGCTGTAGATACATACCAGTACTTGTTAAATACTGATACTTGTCCAGTTGTTTTGGGAGTTAAGTTAAACCAGGTAAGATTTACAGCTGTATAATATCTTTAGCATGTTTTCTGCATAAATTATTTTATATAAACCTAAACCTAAATAGATAATTAAAATTTGCTCGATTTTGTAGATGGTAGTAAGTAAGTCTATCTGTTGTATAAAAGAGAAGATTGATCAGTTGTAGTATAGAGTGATGGAGCTAAAACCACAGTTAGAAGGAAGAAGGGTAACTAGTGCTGTAATGATTAGAGATGGGGTCAAGCACTTGGTGCTTGTACTTAAGCACAAATGAGCACAGCTTTCAAAGTGCTTAGTGCTGCTTGGCAATATAATTTATGTGTACTTTATTGCTTTTACAAATTTACAAAAGTGCTTTTAAGCACAGCAAGAATAAAATTGCGTAATATTATGATTAGTATGCATGTACATGTACATTTACATGTAGATGTACATGTACCACTACATGTACATGTAAAGTGGTTACACAGTCCAATAAATTGTAGTACATGTAACAGTAGTATACAAGTTTAGTAGCACATTGTGTGATTGTGTGTTAGTTTGAAGAATGGTAATGGCATCACCATTAGTGGTATCACTCCAAAGTTCTCTGCCGTTTTCATTTATTATGAACAATTCACAGAGTTAGTGTTTATTAGATGCAATAGTAAACTGAATGACTAAGTGCATGTAAAGTGAACAACTATAATTGTAATTTTACTTTATTTTTACACTTAGTGAATATCTAGTACTTATATTACTGTTACAGTACTTAAGCACTCTAGAATGCTTGTTCTTGTACTCAAGCACTTATGTTAAAGCTAGGGATTGTGCTTGTGCTGGTACTTCTAACACATTTAAGTGCTTGTGATTGTGTTTAAGTACATTTCCTAGTGCTTGACTATTGAGAATGAGCACTACAATAGGGATTAGCTTGAGTTGCTGCATGTAGTAAAGTTATCAGGGGATCAAGTTAAGATCATTTTAGAGAATGAAAATGCTATAAAATTACAGAACTTAAATACAGAAACAAAGAAAAGGACACTATTGTACACAAGTAACTAACAAAGAGTCCGTATGGAGTAGTGTTGTTTTAGTCAACTATAACTAAAACTAAAACCACTTTTAGTTAGGCCTATTTACTTTCAGTTAACTAACTATAACTAACTAAAAGACATTTATAAAACACAGAACTAACTATAACTAACTAAAAGTAATCTAGAAATGTCATAACTAACTATAACTAACTAAAAGTAATTTAGAAATTTCAGAACTAACTATAACTAACTAAAAGTGCAGAATGTGATATAAAAACAACACTAGTATGGAGTAACAAGTGAGTTCTCATGAGTTGGACAGAGCTGTCCAGCTCATTGTACATTACACAAAAGAGGGCACAAGGCCATAAAAACATGAGATCATACATTAATTAAAAGTATATTCTTACAGAAATAGTACTTAACACAAAATATACAACCTACTAATTACATGTACACACATGTCATGCATATAACATACATATTAACCCCATGTCTGTTAACAATACTTATGCAGAATGCTTTTCAGGCTTCAAGTAGCATGTGGGCAGAAAGTGACAGGAAGTAAGTTATCAGTGACATTCATTGAGACATCAATGGTAATACATAACAATGGAGAATGTCATAGCATAATTGTCTACCACAGTCATCACTTACATCACAGAGACTGTATCCTGTGAATAATAAACCCCACAATTGATAACATTCCTATTTGATGATCATGAACTTGTGGTAGATGTAAGTCTGGCCTATTGTATTTGTTATGACTTGAGTGATACTATACTATATCATGATCATTATTAATTTGAATGTAATTACAACATTTTAATGAGCGTAGAAGCGTAATTTGTATTCCATAGTATTTTTTCTAACTATAAGTGTATGACAAGCAATAAAATCCATATTATGCCAAGCAATAAAATCTCAATATTTTCAAAGTGAGCAGAAGCTGCAGAACACCTACCTACTTTGGTCGATTAGTAAAATATGTAAATATTGACAGTCATGCATTTAAAATTCAGATTCTGAAGCGGAAGGAAATAGCACTGAACAGATAGAGACAAGTTTTATATGTTGATATGCCATTACGCTAGTATAAAAGTGTACTCTTTACAATTACATGCCATACAAGCACTCCAATAATTGCATGCTCTGCACACAAGCACACCCACTCATTCAGTGATGGTCTATATAAAGAGGAGAGTAGAGTCGACTTAAGCATTAACAACAAAAGGAAGCAGTCTTAGGTTATTTAGGTCTATAACAGCACTGCTATTATTTGAAAATGAAGTGGATCTTGCTTCTTGCTTTCCTTGCACTTTTGATTAGTAGCAGCTATTGTACTCGAACTGGTATGATATAATTATGTTAACATGTTCCTTCAATAATTCATTTTTAAAGGTGATGAAGATACAGATGATGTTGCTGAAAATGGTAAGAGCATTTTAGTAATTGGTTGACTTATCATCTACAATGTTCCATTTATACAGGTAAATTTCAAGAAACTGACGATGATATTAATTCAGGTACAACAAACTTTAAAGATTATGCTATAATCTTTATAATTAAAATTTAATAC